CGTCATCCCAGAGTGAATCTCGACCTATGGCCGGCACTCGGTGCCTCACCTCAAAGTCCCTGACGTGCGTCTCTGACTATTGGCGCTCATCGATGTCAAACTCCAGGTCTACTGCAACACTACCCGGCTAGTCGAGTTCGAGAATGGTCGTCAACGAAGCCCAAACGCCGATTCCCTCTGTCAGGAGTGAGTGCCGTTGAGTCTACGAAGAAATAGGTGTAGCCAAGTCCAAGTCGTCGGCGGTGGATCCCGGTGCATGGAGGGCAAGTCATGCCCCTCCCCCTCCTTTTCTTCCTCGCCCGAATTTCAAGGTCAGGGTGCCTAGGTATCTATTTCGATGTATTTCTCCTCAGACCGGAAGGACCTCCCTTCCGGCTCCGGACCAAGGCCCCGGCAAGCCCTTGGTCTGGTGTTTTTTGGACGACAAATTTTGCTTCCTTCTCTCTCTCGCACGATTGTTTCTTCTGTGAGAAGGCTCAAACGTCAGACTGGCTTGCTCCGGGGTGGCCCCGGCTGGAGACCTCATGCAGCCCGTTCCCCCTCCATTCACACGCTCTGTTCGTTTGGCATGTTTCCAGAACGACGTTCGTCATCCCGGGGATACCTTGCGTGGGGCACCTCGGGTCCCTGCCGGCCAAGAGACGAGACAGAGATACATCACGGCGAACCGCGGGCCGGGATGAGGAACGACGCTCTCCTCTCCTTGACTGGCCATGGTCACTCGGTAAGGTAAAGTAGGGTTAGCTGCGTCGTCGAAGTGTTTTGGCCGTTGTCTGTCACGCCCGCATCACCTGCGCCAGACAGACATGCGTACGGATAACTCTAGGACATACATGTCTTCAAGTGACCATCCCACTTTCGACTGATGCGGGCCCGTTTTGGCGTTTTTGGCTCTTGATGGCCAACGCCGGGCCTCGGAAGTGGTCACTTGTATGCCTCGTTGGATGCCTTGCCATGCTCGCTCACCATCGTCGTTGCATCTCAGGTTCCACCCTGGACCCAGTCAACTGCAAGTCCCAGGTCCAGAAGGGAAATCCCATTGATGAACAGGAAAAAAAAAACAGCCAGTACCGGCGCCAGTGGTTCCAATCCGAGGTACGGGCGTATTATGGCGCACGACATGCAGTTGCAGAGCAGCAGCAGGAGCAGCAGTAACATCAAATGGGGTGATGCAAAACCAATGCGCCGCTAGATCGGATCGGAAAGTAAAAGGGCCCCCCTTGGTCGCCCTGTCCTGGCTTCGTAACCCATGACATTAGGCAGATGGGGGGCGTTGGTGGTTGAGGGAAGTCCCAGGTGGTGATGCAGGTGGTGATGATGCCGGTTCACCATTGGGCCTCCCTCTTGGGGCTTGGGTTTGGGTACCTCTGCCTTACGGTGAGGTCGACTTTTGGGCTGCCTCTTCTCACTCACACGCGGCCGGATTGTCAACCGTCGACGGCTGACGATGACGGATGTGGGACTTGGTTGGGGGCCCAGAGAGAGACCTTGAAGGCTTACACCGCCGCTCTTGGGAGTTGCAGGTGTAAGATTGCCCCAGTTTGCTTGCTTGCGTCTTTGTCTCCGTTCTGCGGCAGCCTTTCAAACCTGCTACAAGAGAGCAGAGAGAAAGAGAAAAAACGGTTCGTGTCCTGACTTGTGTAATTTCGGGGTTTCGAGGTTTGCATCTCTAGAGCTCCATCTTCTCGCATATCTGCCTCTGGAGATGCATTCACACCCCCAGTCATATGAAACTTTCGAGGAACTTGGGAAAACTTGGGGATGGAGTTCCCCCCATCGCCCCCCTCCCACCTTGCATCAGTGATGGATGCTCAGAGGGGCGAAATCCAGCAAGTCGGCGCCGCTTTTCTGCATTTTTAACCAATGGAAAATACAAAAACTCCGTCGATTAAGCCGACGAAGGACGCCCTGGTCAACCTTCTGCATCAGTGCATCTCCATCAGGCCGGGGTGGTGGTGCAGGGGTGTCTGGGAGCCCTGCCGGAGCCCTGGACGGGTTCCAAGACTGGCAAAAGCTGGGAGTCTGTTTTCTTTTGCACCAATGGAAAATCCAGAAAATGAACAGATATCGAGTCAATCAGCGAGGGGGAGAGGTCACAGGTAGAGTGTCAAAGGGTCGGTGGGAAAGGTGACCAAGAGCCAGGAGGCCCGATTGGGACAGGCAGCCAACGGTCGACCGAACACGATGCCGTAGAGGCGAAGAAAATGGAAAAAAAATGTATTATTTGGCTAGAGCGGGTGAAACTAAAAAAAATTTAATCGTTCTTTTTTTCCGACCCAGGGAAGACAGAGCAAAAAAAAAAAAAGGAATTAAATAAAAACGGTCATGGTTCTCATCTTGACAACGCATCACCACAGAAAATGCCCGAATCTGCTGCACTTCTGCCTGACCTGACGCCAGGGTCAATCAAGTCAACCACCACGGGATACATCACTTCCTCCTTGTCTGCAACTCCAACACGCATCCGCACGGCAAAACGCAACATTGCCGTTTGAATGAACATTTTGGCTTCGCAACAAGTCAGGTTTCCCAAGGTCCGATCAGCATAGTACAAGGGCCCCCCCCCCCCTCCTCCCCCATCATTTTTCCCGCATTCCCGATTCTTCCAAGGTGGTTTCTGTTGCAGTCCAACGAGACGACGACACGAGCCGGGTGGGAGTGGAAATCCCACGCTGCTTTTACAAATGGAATTAGAGTCGTCAAAAGGTACTTTTTTCTTGGCATTGCTTGACGTTGACCTGGTTCTGTTACCTTGTTTGTTCTGACCTCTTGTCCTCTCTCTGTACCTGGTCGTACTGTCGAAGCACGCAGACAGAAAAGACATGGCGGCCACGTTGGAAAATACATGCCAGGAACGCCAGGTTCGTTCGCAATTGCGAACGAAGAAAACGGAGAGAACAGACAGGCACACATGGGCGCGCACACACACACACCCGGGGCCTCACTGAGCTGCCCCCGTTACATTCCCATCCGAAGCCGTTCTTTTCTCGACTTCTGTCCTGATCCAACCCGCCCTGCCCTGCCCTACTCTGCCTTATCCTGTCCCATCCTCCGCCCTCGTGGCCTCCGCTCTCGTTGGGCCAGAGTTTCGATCAACGCCGGGCCATACCTTCCCCGTTGGTCCTGGCTCTGTTTGACCTCTATCGTGACGTTTCCGCCTTGTACCTCCCCAGGCCCGAGGTTGCTTGCTTGCTTGCTTGCTCTCTCTCTCTCTGTGTGTGTCTCTTTGCAACCCACATTCCTCACCCACAGTATTCCATTTCCTCCTCGCCCTCTCTCCATCCGTCACGAATCAGAACGTACCCCTCCCCGGTAGGAATACTTTCCATAGCCCCCGTCGGCTCGCGTCTGACTGGGTCGATGGAAACGTTGGACCCGCACGGCCTCCGTCATACTCCCATCCACGGCTCATGGCGTGGCCCCGGAAGGCCGTCGTCGTTCGACCCGGAAGCCCTCGACGACCTTCCGTTTGCCTTGCTTCCGAAGCCTTCACCTTCCCCCCTCCAAATGTCTTAGATCCACGCCTCACACTTCAACACCACCTCCCTCATCCCAAGCTAAAGCAACCTCTTCCCATCTTGACACCGCACGGGCGTGGGCGGAAAGAGGTCCCATGGAAAGGAACCCTTCACGCCATGGTCCATGGTCCACGGCCGCCGTCCCCGTCCCTGCCCACAGAGCCCCATGCCCCTGGCTTGCAGGTGCATCCACCCTCTCCTTGCCTTACCTTACCTTAGCTGGTTAAAGTAGTTCGGCGTGATACCTGTCGAGATGTACCTCCCCTGCCCTGTCTTGCCCGGCGGTCCATCAAAAAAATATGTGTCTCTGTCTGTCTGCAGAGCCCTCCGTCGCCGTTTTACACGACATGCCTTACATGGCTTCCCAGCCCGCATCTGTCTCGCTGCTCTTCGCCGGTCTGCACCGGCTAGTCCGCGCCAGTTTCCACGCGTCTCTTTCGTTTCTCTTTTTTTCTCCCCTGGCCCCGGTTGTCATCTTTCTCAAGCCCGGATGTCCCAAACAGATCCATTGCCTCATCTGGGCCACCCATCCTCCATCGTGGTCCTTCTCCACCAATACGACCCATGATAGTCGCCCCTCGGCATATGCAGACACCTTGCTCGGTTGTTTTATTTGCCTTCGATGCTGAGCTATTCCTTTTGAGTCTTTATTCATTCTTTGAGAGAAATGGACACTCGGCCTGCAGATGTAGCAACCTGTTTTCCCTGTCTTCTTCTTGGCCAATGGCTCTGTCCATCACCCTTCCACATGCCCCCCTCAACGTCTCCATTATCCACACCCTCGAGACAACCACTCCGTTGCCTTCGTCTTTGATTATCACTGCCCACCCCGCGAGCAACAGCCATTGAAGCAAGCGGCAAGCGGGCGAAGACAGGGTTTAGCCTCTTTCTCTTCCCTGTCACTAACGCACAGGCTAGCCCAGGTCCAGACAGGTCGGCCGGCTGTTGCTGCTGCTGCTCATGCTCATGGCCGACGTCCGTCCGTGTCGTTGCGTGTGTCTGCGGCCATTCTCACCATCCCATCACATCATGCCCAGGGACCATTCCGTCCGTTCCCTCCCTCGGGCGGGGTTCAGTCATGAAGCCATGGCTTGCAATCGGACGAATCGAGGCTTGATGTCTTATCCCCTCCCCCGAGCAAGAAGAAGAGATGGAGTCCGGAATGGGTCTCGGAAAAAGTATAAAAGGGCACAACTTGAGCGGTTGGAATCTGTATTCTTCTTCTTCCTTTCTCATCACCATCTCGGACGATCTCAGCAAGCTTCTGCCCAACTTCTCCAAGTCGCTCTTCATCAAGCTTCATCCAAGCAAGCACCTTCCTTGCGCTTCGTCATACCAAGTGGCAAGCCCATCCCCAGTTCACAACACAGAGAACTTTAGTCATCCCTTGTTTGCTTCAAACAAGTTCCCACATCGCACATACGCAACACGTCACAAGCTCTTAACCGTCTTCGTCGACTACCCGGATATCCATCGCCCATCATGTCTGCCCACTACAACTCCTACGCCATCCCCATGCCCGTCCCCAACCACAAGGGCCAACAATACCCCAGCTACAGCAGCACCTACTCGGTCTCGCCCCCAGAGACGGACGAGTCCGTCAGCTCAGGAACCGGAGCCTCATACAGCAACAGCGGATACTCTGGCGGCTACTCGGTTGCCAACTCCAGCTACGCCGGCAGCAACAGCGGCGACTTTGACAGCCACCACTCGGCCAGCGGAGTCGACTTCAACGACTACATGCAGGACCGCTTCGCCCAGACCTTTGACCCCATCCCTCTGGATCGCAACATTGCGGTCCAGGCGCAAACGTGAGTACGCCCCATCGAGAGCTACAAAAATCCCCGAGCGGTGTTCCGGCGGCCGGTGCCTGCATAAGCCGCGGGGGCCGATCGCCGCAGCAATCCGGAAAAGACGAACGACAGCAGAGAGAAAACATTTGGCTGACCGGAAAACGCAAAAAATAGATCCGGCAAGCTCAACGCAAAGCACCGTGAGCTGCTGGAACTCCAGAAGAAGGCGCAAGCCCGTCTCGCAAAGACGCGCGAGCGCTTCAACGAGGGCTACCGTGACGCTCAGGACGTGCGCGCGGACCTCGAGTGGACGCAGAAGAAAGTCTCGTAAGTGTGCATCATTTTTCCTCACCCGATCTCCGAATGCGAGATCCGAGACCTCGAAAAAAAAAAAAAAAACAAGCGGCAGAAAACGATGGCCAAGGTTGACGATCTACCGGCAATCTCGCAATTCCCCTCTTCTCCCCGCGAACTGGCGGGGAAAATGGAGGCACGGGAAAAGCGGGTTTCGGTGGCATCGGAAAGAAGCAAGCTTGTTCGACAGAAAACCGGCGGCCGCCGCTGCGAGATCTGAGACAAGACAGAAAACCGGGCTAACACCTCTGCGCAGATCGCTGAAGAGCAAGACTTCCCGCAAGCACACCAAGGAGTACAACAAGGCGCGCGCTCGCTACCCTTCGCCCGAGTACTAGACGTACCTTGCGAATGCGCTCTCTCATCTCTTCGTCAGCCGCGCGACATCGCGGACGTTGAAGCAGCAGAGACGAGCAGGCGACAAAAGCGTTTCTTTCAGCCTTACCTTTGGGTGTCGGTCTTTTCTAGCGTGTCATTTTCAAAAGCAACCTCCTCCATCACACCCGCCACACCAAAAGTCGACGCACGACATACACACATCCCTGCCTGCACAGAAACTGCAGGAACCAAGATACCAAAAATCCCCGGATTTACTTTGCATCTCTATTTTTTGCTCGACGATTGATCAGCGCACGCCTCCTCCACCTCGTTTGTTTATTTTTCTTGGGTACATATTGGGCTGTCAAGGAGGTGAGGGGCAGCGAGAAGCAGAGACAGGGGGGCGGGGGCCCAGCTTCTTAGGCGAGCCTGACAGTCGGGATCGCGGTTGACGCGCAGCGGCACGGCGCGGGGCGAGCATGGGGCCTGCTAGCGGCCCATCTCACGCTGCTTTTGCGAGCTTCGCGGAGGGCGGCAGCGAGGTAAATGTTTGAGCCGTGGAGATGGATGGGGGGAGGGATTCCGCCCGCGTGGTAGACACTCCACTAATCCGTCCTCCACACACACTCCTACCGTTCTCGCCGAACCTCGTGGGCTTTCCCGGGCTGTTGGATTTCCTCTGCTCTTCAGGACCTTGTTTGGGGAGGCTTTGTTCCACGGAACCATGATGAGATATGATTGGATGAAATGGGTATGATTTTGGGCGGTTTTTGTAGTTTAAAAGCACACCTCCCCCTCTTCCTCCCTGGGGACCCAGGGCAAGCATCCAGGGTGGCCTGCAGTAGGCCCTCAGAGCCGAGAGATCGGTTCGGTGGAGATCTGGCGGCGCAGGGAGGAGACCACGGGGACGGAGACGGGGAGAGAAAGGTGAAAATTGCGGCGTCTGTAAGGGAGGCGCTTGTCCTTTTCGGGGCGGTGGGATATTGCTCTTTCGGGAAGGGGAGGCGGCGAGGGAGAGGGTGATGGATCTCTTTTGCGGGCTGGCGTTTCCTATAACACCCCGGGCGGTTCTCTAGTGACGATAGGGCTTGTCCATAGTAACATCGTAAGCCTCTTTCTTGTTCGATTGATGGGCCAGCGGACGGGGGGTCGCTGGTCCCTATACTCCTCCCCCCGTAGCAGCACCGCCCAGCTCCATCGATGCCGCGATGCCACCGTAACGAATCCCACGACGATGGCCCCGTCGTGGGGCATCTCCGGGACCCAGTGATGAATCATGTGATGAAGCGTAGAGTCCTTCCACGCCTTATGACGTCTGCCCCTGTCCGATCAGGGATGTTGATATCACGTGATATCGGTCTGAGTCCGGTGAAGTTGACGCTGGCATGGCCAAGAGACGGGTGAACAAGGGAGGGGCTATGTATCAATTGTAGTTCGATACATAGCTGACAACCTTGTCCATCTACCTCCCAACCCATACAGCCCTTCCTCATGTCGATGGTTCCTCGGAGGAAAGCCCTAGGCAGTCTGCGTCTGTCCCTCCATAGCCCAGCTCCCCCTCGGCTCAACCCCAGCCGCCTTCTCAAGCTTCGCCCACGGGTTCTCGTTGGACTTATGGTCGTAGTATCCCTCCCACCACGGCTTGCCGTCGTCCCTCTGCTGGTAGTGGTGGTTGTTCCTCGCGCCACCGCGTCCGCCCCGTCCTCCGGGTGGCGCATCGCCCTGGTTCCAGCCCGGCATGCTCGTCGGCGCGGCGCCCATCTCCCGCCCCCACGATGCCTCCGGCCTTCTAGGCAAGCTCGCGCCCGAGGGCAGCGCGTCACCAGCTCCGGCTCCGCCCTGCTGCGCTTGAGAGGCGGCGCTGCCGACGCCGCCGCGGACGGTCAGCTCGTCGATCAGCGACTGCGCGTGGGCCAGCGCGGGCGCGACGGTGGGGTCTGAGTAGAGGCTTGCGCCGCCTTCTTCGTCGTCGTCGTTGTTGTCCGCGGCGGCGGCGGCGGCGGGGTGCGGCTCCTCCGCTTTGGTGTCAGCTGCGACGGTGGTGGTGGTGGTGTCGGGTTCGGCGTCGGAGTCGAGTGCGATCTCGTCTGTGTTCGTCGCGCTGGCTGCTGCCGGGGCAGACGCGGGTGTGCGGGTTGCGAGGGCGACTTGGTTCGCGCCGGTTGCAGAGTCGGAGGCGGCGACGGCGTCGGTGCGGTGGTTGTATTTGCGCTTCTTCGCGGCGGGTTGGGTCCCGAAGGAGGCGAAGCCCATGAAGGCGGCCATCTCGGGATCGATGTCGGAGGCGTCCATCGTGGCGGTGAGAGGTAGAACGTATGGGACGATGAGAAAGGATGTGAAGCGGTTGTTCGTTGTGTGTTGGTCGGAGAGGGAAGGTCGCACGCAGCTGTTGTTTCGACGAGCAATCAATTGGCAACGCGAGAGAAAAAAAAGGATGGGAGCTTGGGGCGCGGTTAGATCCGTGGCAAATTGCAGCGGGAAAAGGTCGAAATAAGCTGGAGACCCTTGCTCGGCACTGGGGCGCTTAATCCCAGCCTCGTGGGGAGCTCTCTACATTAAGGTAAGGTAGTCCCAGTTAGGGGTCCGACGAGATGACGAGGTTTTACCTGGGACGAACCCCAACAGGTCGACTGTGGTGCAAATGGCGAGATTGGCAGTGTCGTCGGGTATTTGCGGCTGTTGCGACGACCTATGAGAGACATGCAACTCTCCGCGAATCATTCCTGTGTCCGTTTCCCAACCCCTCAGAGAGGCTTTTCGGGTCAATTGATTGTCTCAGGGCGCGCAGTTGAAGCTCATGTGGTCCGGGCCGTGCACTGATGTCATTTTTTGAAACGCGTAGGGGGTGCGAGACCCCTGGCGCGGATCTCGGGAGTTTTGGGCGGTGGTTTGCGACTTTGCTTGACCTCACGTCTTGCGCTGAACAACACCCCATACCGGCGATATTTTTGCACCTGTTTGGTTGATCACATACTTACGGATACGCGCACAAGACCTTTGGCGTTCCGATTTCGCACCAAAGCCCTCAATTGAAACCCCAGCCGGCCTCGTTCACCGCGAGCCAGCCCGCCCATCATGGCCACCCCTCCGACCGATGTCGCCCTTATCTCCCCCTCGAAATACACATCCTCCCCTCCCGCCTCCGCCTCCGCGCCCCCGATAGACTGGCTCCTGCGCACCTGGAGCGTGACGCACTCCACCCTCACCATGTGGCGCGACGCCCGCAACGTGCGCATCACCTACGCCGCCCTCCCCGCGAAGCCCGACGGCACCGCGCGCGTCGACGACCTGGTCGAGTACGAGTCCAACAAGAGCACCCCCTCGACGGGCGTCAAGTCCGTCAAGGGCGTCGACACCGCGTCCCGTCCCGGCGGCGACACGGGCGCGTGGGACTGGAGGGGCAAAGGGTGGCTGTTCTTTGTGGGGAGCCACTGGGAGGTCCTCGGGTGGGGGGAGAAGAAGACGGCGGCGGGGGAGACGGAGAGGTGGGCTGTTACGTGGTTTGCACCGACCGTCTTTACGAAGGAGGGCGTCGACATCTACTGCGATCGGAAAGAGGGCTTGAGTGAGGGGACGTACAAGGAGATCATGGCTGGGTTGAAGGGGTTGGAGGCCAAGGAGGTCGCCGAGATGGTCGAGAAGGACATGAAGCCTGTTGAGATTTTGTTGCCGTGGAAGGAGGCTTGAAGAGGCAGCGCAAGAGTTTGGACATAATGTTGTGGCGGCAGAGACAGTATACAGATGGGATGAGCAGAGCAAGGTTGGGCTCCCCCCCTCTTCTTCATGCCGAGGTTTGATGTCGAGGCTATCGACCGTATTGGCGGATTTCTCGTTTGTCTTTTTGGCTCGACCATATTCTGAGACCATTAGAGCAAATGCCCACTTAGGAGTGTCAGATCCTGAGCCCGGACAGGCTCTATTTATCTACTTACTCAATTTATTCCCTTTTTCGTTATCAACATCTTTCGGCAAGGAAAGTGGCAGGTGTGAAACGCAAGGTTGAATGTAAAGTAGCATACGAGCACTACGTGGAAGCATGCGATTGCTAAATTTCTGTTTCCTATCAACTAGGCAGCAACACCGGAATCAGTTCAACGTCGATGACATTTTGACGATACCTACCGAAGGGAACGTTGGTCTAGGATGGAGCAGCTACCACAATGAGGCCGAGAATGAGGCAGAGTAGCCATCGGTCACACTGCAATTTATCATGTCAATAAACTTGAAATTTTGATTACAATGTGTTACGCATAAGATGAGCAACCTTCCTACTTACACCTACAAGGCGGGCATGAAGCTGGTTGCTTTTCATCATCACACAACACACGAGGCTCATGTGGGAAAAGTGCTTATGAAATGATTTCATTACTACGGAGCCATTACCATTACGACCTCCAGCGCAAAGCGAACGAATTGGGTATTCTATAAAACATATCGAGCCTGTCCAACCTGGTCATGCCGATCTTGGGTATCGTCTCCTGAACAGGCCATACGTCCTCTCCGCCATCAGATTTCGTAAAAGTACATCGTGTATTTTCGTGTGATTTTGTGGGTTGTATAAGTCGTGAAAGCAGGGGTATTGGGAAAGCAAAAGCAATCGTGTCGAAAACGTCAAAGCGCAAGAAAGCATGTCGTCGCCACCGTAGGTGAGTGTCATCGCAGAAGCCGAAAAGGGGCCGGCTTAATCAATGGGACCAAGCTGTTCCACACACGACGACCTCAAGTCAGCACCTGGGGCAAACTCAAATGTTTTCGATGACACGAGAGTTGATGGCTTGCTGGAAGCCGGAGTCCTGACCTCCAAAGTCATTGTAGCTGGCGTCACCGCCATGGCCACTCGACTCGCCGGTGGTGTTCTTGGCGAGGGCCTGCTGGATGTCTGGCATGGTCTGGTTCGCAGCAGGCAGGAAAATGACCTTGCTGTTGGCAGACTTGGCCATCGCCTGCATGGCCTCGAGGTAGCGGATTTGCATGGCAGGAGCGGACGACAGAATGTCGGCGGCCTGGCGCATAAGCTTGGCGGATTCAACCTGCAGGATGTGTTAGTGACGTTCGGGGTTGCGGAAAGGGTTCTCGATCGAAGCTTACCTCGGCCTTGGCGGCAATGATCTTGCTCTCACCAATACGCTTGCTCTGGGCGGCCATGGAGAGCGATTCCTGCAACTCCTGGCTGAAAATGATGTCCTTGATAAGCATGCTCTCAACCTGCACACCCCACCCGGCAGCAACATCCTCGATGATCTCTCCAATAGACTGGGCAATCTCCTCGCGGCGCTCGATGACATCCTGCAGGATGCGGGCACCGACGACGTGGCGAAGGGTGGTCTGGGTGCGCTCCATCAGAGCCTGGCGGACGTTGGAGATGCCGAAGGCTGCTCGGTGCGGGGCGACAATGTGGTAGTAGATGACTGAGGTCAGGTGGAGGGTGACGTTGTCCTTGGTCATACAGGTTTGCTGAGGGACTTCGGCAGTCTGAATCTTGACATCGACCTGAATGAGCTTCTCGCTGAGAGGGTTGACCTTGACAAGACCAGGGTCGACGGCCTTGTAGAACTTGCCAAACTTGGTAACGAGACCAACGTTACCCTGCTGGACGTTCTTGTAGGGGTTCGGGCAGACGACGCAGCAGGGGATAGCTCCCATGGTACCAATGCAGGAACCAACAGCGTTGACTGAATGATTGTTAGCATGAGGCGCAAAGATATAGACGACAAGGGCGATGCTCACTCATGGTGCCGTACCAGCCCTTGGGGTTGGCGTCGTTCTCGACGATTCTGGCATAGCTGCGCTGAAGGTCCTCCTTGGTGGGAGGTTGAACGGTCATGCCGCCTTGGGCCTTGAATCCAACGTTGCCGTTGTTGCCGCCGTTGGTGTTGTCTCCATGGCGTTCCTGGTAGTCGGGAGCGCGGCCCTTGCCGGTGGAGGAGCTCTCGTGCTGCTCGGGGTTGTGTGTGGGAGCGCTCATTGTGGCGGGGGAATGCGATCGGGTGGACGAAGTGGTTGCTTGTAGCAGACCGCGTGCGGAGTTATTGTCAGGTGAAGAAGATTGGTTGTGATGAGAGGTGTCGGAAGCTTCGTGGATTGAATCGGAGCGTTGAACCATTGAAAGAGGAGTGGTTTAAGGATGTGGGAAGACGGGGACGGGAGTCTTAAGTAGCAGATGTGTCACGGTAGAAGAACAGATGTCTCGAGGATGGAAGACGGCACGACTAGGGCGAGAGTGACAATGGAGGATCATAGATGGGGAAACGTGTGCCGGGGTTTGAGTGTCACCTCAAGGTAAGGTAAGGTAAGGTATCGGGCGGATGAGGGCTGTGTTTGCGCCCAGGAGCTTTTGGTCTCTTGGGTCTTGGGCCTGCTGCCTCTTGGGTGTGGAGAGCTTACCTTTTCCACGGGCAATGCCGGTACGTACTGCGCCAGTATCGTTCTCATTGGTCTTTCTGGTCACACTGAGCGTCGATTGCCACTGGTGATAGGCTGATGGCGAGCTGCATCTGCGCGCGAGGAAGGGGGGAGAAGGAACCGGCAAAAGTGGAGCAGGGTCTCGTGCAGGTGGTGTGTTTGGCAGGGATACCAGCTAGACGTTAGTGTAGTGCTGTTGGCCTGAGGTGGGACCTCCCTCGTTAACCTTGCGGGGCCCTTCCACCAAGTGAACTCCCCAAAGTGCCCGACAGTGGAGAGAAATCAGCAAGGTGAGCATCCAAATCCAAGACACAGCCCGCGATGCCAGCGATGCCTGCGACTGCGACCAGAGTCAGACTTTGCGAATCCATTCCAACACCGAAGTTCTCACTTCTGTAGGGCGACTGGCCCGTGCCCCTTGCTCTGAGGAAGCCGCGATGCTTCATTGCGCACTGCAGACCATCCACTCGGCACGGACATGAGGGGAAGGGCCTCAAAATTGACGATACCTTATCACGACGATACAACGGCTTGACTTTGGTGCCGCCACCAATCATCAATCGACCATCTTACTGATCAATGACAGTGTCTCCCGGCTCGTCTCTTCCGCAGACCGAGCACTGCGCCCGATCAACCCGAGCAGATTTGCCTTCAACCTTTAGCTGCCTTTGGCGCCCATCACGAAATACGGTCGCCTAGCTGTGGCCAATGTGTTTGTTGGTTGGCTTGGTGGGAAAAAGAAGAAAAAGGCACATGCCACAATTATCTTGAGCGAGGCGATTTTCTGCTCAGCCCTGCTTATCCTTCGCTGCCTAGACAACCACGACCCCGACGACCCCATCGACGACCAAAATCACAACGATTGCGAGGTACTTTAGCTTATTCCATCCGAATCAGCATTGGCTACACAACAAGCCGTGCGAGCCAGTCACCCGCCAGGGAGGAACAGACAGACATGTCTCTCCACATCCAAACGCCATCCCATCTCGACTCCACGTACCTGCCAGGGGTCTCTACTCAATTTGCGCAATCATCGGAGAGCATCTTTTGCGAACGGGAAATGTTTCACAAAACATTCATCTCTGTGTCATGATATTCGAAACCCTGTCGCCTCCTCGATGCGACCCGCCAATCACCATCGCCTTTCGGTGCCGAGTTCCGCCAAGGGAGGGCACGGCAAAATCGGATGATATCATGGAACCACACGCCGAGAATGAATGCCACCCTACGGCCATCATTTGCGCCGTCCCGGCTCCAAAGGCATCGTGACAAACCTCGCGCCGTTCTCGGCTGCCCAGATGCCATGCCATGGTCAAACTTTCTCGCAACTCCGAGGACTACCGGCATGGATGACTTCACTGTCAATCCGTCAAAGCCTCACTACTGCAATGCGCCTCCTCCCGACCGCATCCGCCTCACACTCGCTCCCACGCTCCCAGCGTCAACTGTGCCAAATTCCAAAGTCTCTTGGCTCGCTTACTCGCCCCGCTTTACTTACCGACCGCTGCGGCGCCCAGCTTCTTAGGCAACACCATTGAGACCACCAGCCACCGTGTCGGCCAATGCTCGCCGGCGCCCGGTCTCCACACTGCCGAATGTGGCTGTAGCGTCTCGCCGGCACGCCAACACGCGTGACCCGACACTGCCTGCCAATATTTGCGCCCGACGACCTCGGAGAGGGCTTTTTGTCTTTGACAATCACAATCTCCAACACTAAACAGCTGTTGACATCATCTCTCTCAAGGGCCTCAATTCTCAATCTCGGCTGATCACCAGGGCGATCAGAAGTGCCACATGGTGCCAAATGCAATTCTGGCTTAATCTATGTTAGGTATGCTGTTCTCAACACGTTCTCCCCGGGTTCTGGTCACATGGCTCCGCTTCAGTCACTGAAGATGTCCACGAAACGGCATTCTGAGTTTCGCAGTCGACACGTGGCTCAAATTTTACAGACACTGTGGCAATGAATTACCTTTTCGAAGAATTCTAGAGTTCTTTCCCTCTCGAAAAGAACAGGTACCCGTGGGAAAGCTCTCTTCGCATCAAATTCCAATCAGCTGATGCAGCGTATGCCAAGCACATGGAACCCACTCTTCGAATCCTTCCAGAAGCCTTCCAGTTCCGCCACCCCTCTCCGCATCCAACCACACAACACCGTCATCCTGGAAATCGTTGAAGCCTGGAGTTCCACCATCTCCATCAGACACTGCAGATCCTCACTCTCACATGGATCTTTTACACGGCCACGGCCGCGGCCAACACCAGCGCCTTCCGACTGACTTTCC